GGCGTCTCGGACATGGAGGGTAACTCCGCTCACTGTCCGCTGATATCACGCCGCTCCGCCCCCCTCCTTGGCTTAAGCCACGAAAATTCACTTGTCCAGTGTTCCTGTAATGGATGTGGCGGCTGGAGTTCTGAGTAGCCCTGCTCTCCTTCCTGCCTCTGAATAGGCTCATTAGCCTCCTACCTCAACCCTCCAAATACTTTTGTTTACTCAAGCCTGCTGTGACTCCTAGTGCACCAAGACTGCAAGCCAGACACTGCACTTCAGCTTCCACAGCCACAGTCTGGAGGATTCACCATAGCAGCCTTAATGCAACTAACAGCAAGTATTCAATGCCACAGCTGATGATATGCACACAATCATAATGCCTTTAAACCTGTGCTGTTAATCCAGCAATACACTTGCCCTCTGCTGCTACAAGCTATTTAAAGCTATTGCTAAATCTTGTGATGTGAAGTCAACATTACACCTGACTACTACTACTCATTAGACATGTGCACTGCCAAAAAATTCATTTCGTTTCGTTTTAAATTCGGATTTGTGTTATTTCGTTTTTCAGGATTCGGGTGTGAAAGTGAATTCGGATTCGGAATTCGGATTCGGACGAAATTCGGTAGCGTTAGTACGAACGTTCGTTTCGTTTTCTGTTCTTATTCGTTTCTTATTCGTTTCTTATTCGTTTGCAGCAAAAGTGACATTTGAGGGGGAAAAAATATTTTTCTCCTTCTCTAATGTCACTTTGCTCCAACGAACGAAACGAATAAGAAACGAATAAGAACAGAAAACGAAACGAACGTTCGTGCGAACGCTACCGAAATTTCGGAAATGGAAATTCGGATTCGTTTGCATTCGTTATGTCTGTAATTCGGAATTCGGATACATCCGAATGTCCGAATTTACGAAAATTCGTCCGAATTTCGATTCGGAACGAAACGAATCGCACGTCTACTACTCATCAACTTCAAACATTCACCTTGTGATGTGAGGATACCATTACAACTGTTTCTTTACATATTGCTTTCAATCCTGGTATGTGAAGTGAACATTGGATTTATGTCAACAGTGAGATGCTCATTCAGTATACATTTAATGAATTCGCTTGTGATGTGATGCAAACATTACTGCTGAGATAACCTTATTTATAGAGACTGTCATTACCATGAAGTAAAAGTTTTGTTTAAGAGACTTCCGCAGCTGAGTTCCATCATTTATCATAAGAGGTATTACAGTGAGTAGGGGTACCCAAGGCAAGGGTAAACTTTTTTTCTTAAGCACTAAAGGACATCTATTTTCTTTTTTCTTTAATATATATTTTAAAAAAAAGTTTTTAACCCAATCTAAAATATTTATCAATGTGTGTTGTAGCATGACCTATTAAAGTCAATCAACCGGCCTCCCCTCCATTCATGGGGTGTCCTGTGCAGAGTTATGCAGGGAGAACCCCACAGCTTCCACACCATGAGCAGTATTTTATGAATGAGTCAGAAAATACAGCAGTATAAAGTGTTGTATCTGTTGGATGGTGGATAGTGGGATCTACTCTCATTTATAGATCATCCCTTGTGTATAGGGGATACCTTTCTGATTTCAACCTCTAGAGAAAGGATGTCATTGTGACCTCAGTGAGATCTTGGGACTCATCTATTACAATATCTAGGAGATCCATAACATACCCGCACACTTCCAGCTGCCATTTCTGAACCACAGACTTTTTGATTTCAGACACCTTTCACTCTATACACTGTTTGCATTCCATTCATGTTATTCTCAACATTGTGTATATACAGTATGTAACAATATAAAACTAATCACACAAGCAAATATTCTATTCAACTTACAACACCAAAGGTGAATGAAGTGACAGTGAAACAAATGTAATTTTTTTAATGTGTTGACAATTAAAGGAATGTCCCATCTCAACCTCTTTGGAACCAATACCCCCTATCAAACGTGACTACATCCCACCAGAGTGTTAACTTTTGTTCAATTTTGTGTTTTAATTCCTTGGAGATGATATCTGTATTGTCAATGGAAGGGATTTACACAGTAGAAAAGCAAACATTTCCCAGCACACTCACAAGCCAGCCTGCAAAAAAAAAAACAACCCTGTCTAACTAATAGGGTTCAAACAGAGGTTTTAGTTGCACAACTTTTGCAAAGTATGTGTAATCCATGCTGCCTTGTCAAGACCTCTCTGAGTAGTGTGGTCCTACCTCTAATCTATGAGAGTGCACAGCAGTTCAGGCGCATTTAAATAATATGGGCTTGCAAGCCCCTTTTTATAGGGTTTTGGAACAAAATACTAAGGCCCCGTTCACACCTGGGCGTTTTGTAGCGCGTTCGTACGCTCTGCAAAACGCTCATACACTGAAATCCCATTGTTTCCTATGGGTATGGTTCACACCTGGGCGTATTTCAGGCCGTCTGAACACGCAAAAAATGGCCTATGCCCAAAGAAGTACTGGAGCTTCTTTGGGGCGTTTTTGTCGCGCGTTTCCATTGGGACACAGCCAAGTAGCCCTCGGAAACGCGTGTTTGTCGCACGTTTTTTTTTACCGCAAATCGCATATTCGATACACCTAGGTGTGAACCCAGCCTTAGATGTGTTACCTTGAATTATTTCAAAAAAACAATAATAATTCTCATATTTAAGCAATATGATGGGATCATCTGGTTGAGTAATATGATTTCATATTTCATATGCCCGGAGTTCATTTTTAAAAGCAATTTACCTTAACACTCTGTCGCATAAAAAAGTCCTCCCATGCATTCAGATCTTATACATAATTGTAGATCCCATTTCTACAACTTTAACATAAATGAGTCTCTGTAGAGCAAGCTTTTCTGCTGAGGCTGCTGTGAGCTGCAGGGCGCTTAACCTCCAGTGAGAAATGTGCTAATCAACTCTCCTGCTGCCTTTACAAAGAAAGGCCCAGAGTATGCAGATCACACACGGCAACCAACAAAAATGGGAAATTTGTAAAGGAAGGAATTTGTAGTGGAAAAGAAAAATAAATACTTCAAATGTTCAATGTTTGTTTTGTAAGTATTTCATATAAAAAAAAAGGCAAATAAAAAATGAGAGACTGAAAAGTGCGCAGGAAGCACGGGTCACCCTGTTCAGGGCTTCTGCTTTTCATCCACATGTAGCTGTCGTGTATCTGACCACCCACTGCTTAAAGGACAACTCCACCTTTACCTTAAACTGTTGCTGAACCACTATTCTGGCCTCCACAAGTGGATTTGTTATCTGGTGAATGCTGCGCTGTGATGAAGTGAGGTGAATAGAAACAGAATCTTTTTTCTTATTTTATTTCTTAAATGTATTTTTATTGGATTTTTTTATATGCAAGAAGAAAACCAAATGCAGAGCAATGCGTGTAAAATCACCTGGTCTATAACCTTGACCAGGGGTATCATCTTAGGTAAGTTACTTAAGAAAAAAAGCAAAATCGCATACACACCAAAAAAAGCAAACAACCCAACTCCCCCCTAACACAGAGAACTGCATGTTCAAAAAAAAAAATTGATTAGATGCATATATATGCACTTACAAAAGCTTTTTTAATGCATATAAATGCATCTAATCGCACATAGTGTGAATGAAGCCTTTGATTTGTGGGAGGGTTAGGGGCAAGTAAAGGATTGGGGTAGGGTAGTGATTTTCTTTTGTTTAACATTTAATTACTATTTGTTTTTGACACTGAAATCCCTGCAGTGAAGTTTATAGTTCCAGGCATATCGTGCTTAAAGTGGACCTTTACCCCTTTGGCCTAAAAATAAATCAAGCGTGCAGCTCTGCCTGCTGATATGAAATCATCTTACATTCGTTCGTTAAACAAACACATTTTTATTTTACTTAAAAATTCAGTAATGTGCCCAAGCGTTGCATCCTGGGAAGGTTATATCAGCAGAGCATTGCCGGGAAATTTCATCTGTAATCTCACAAGATCTCTGGGAAAGGCATTTTCCTCCCCTGAGATGATGTGCATGGTCACATGTCCTAGTCACATGTGCCAGACTTTCAGGAAGTAAAGAGAGATATAGCAATCTGCCCTTAGTAAAAATGGCCACTGTGAGAAGAATGGAGAAGAAAAGAGAAATAAGGAATGCAGGGAATACAAAGTCTGCAATTACCTAGAACTCTGTGTTTGTAGATTGTAATTACTGAACATTTCTAAAGATGTGTTTGTTGTTATTGTGAAGATCTGGGTAAAGTTCATCTTTAATTCCAGTGTACCATTCTCAATAAGCTGCTTACACATGAGGCATTGAGTGATGATATGATACGAGGGGAGCTGTCAGAGATAGACAAAGATACCCTTTTGAGAAATTGGCCATTCCCAGGATTTGAACTATAAACTTACTTTAATAACTTTAGAGAAACCTCCCAACATTGTGAAACAAGAAAGAGGGACACCTTCCAACACAATATATTTAGGCAATGGACACCCCGAGCTGCGCCCCCAGTTATGCCAACCTTTAGAAATTTATAGGCCAAAAAGGATTGTTTAATACCAGAAATTTTTTTTTCGTAATGATTTTTCCTTTATATTGACTTTTCCAAACAGAAAAGATAATTAAGAGATAAGATAAAGATTTTAGTGCAGAATAAAGCCGGGTACACACTATCAAATGTTTTTTGTTCAACCAGCGGGCTGAACTCTGGATGCTATCAGAACACCCAAACGGTGCTTGCAGCTGATTGGTTGAAAGCAGAGTTTGGCCAAAGAATACCAAACACGTTCCTTCGACAAAAGTCAATCTAATGATCGACTTCTGTCGAGGGAATCGGGTCACCAAGGGACCGAATTTAGTCCATTCCTGCTGAATGAGCCAATATTCGATTCGTGTGTACCCAACTAATCACTTTTGTTAGTTAAGTTGAACCTTTACATAGATATCTGTACATCAGGGATTTGGTTTTTAAAAGAGGGACTGTCCCTCCAAATGAGAGACAGTTGGGAGATTTGCTTTAGACAAAACACACACACAGCTTACTAGCACCTCCCCACCTTGACAAAATGCACAGGAAGTTGATTCTGGCATCTTACACAAATCACATCTGTTAGGTTCCTGGACCTATACTGGCACCCGGATGTTCTCACGCAGTCATGAAGTCTGAATCTATTGTTACTTGATCGATTTGCAGGGCCTTGAACTCCTCTACATATTGCCCTCACGGTGGTAGCACTTGAACGGATGAAGGTGTTATGTGGCTTGCAGTGGACCGCGGGCCGTCTCATGTCTCTGTTACAGTTAACCTGCCTGTTTGTCACGTGCTTCAGCTGAAAACTTCTCCAGGCTCTTCCTGGGGGTGGATGCTGGCTGAGACTCAGCGCAACCCCACATACCAGAAGAAAGAAGAATTGTGCAAACATTCTGAAAGACAAAACCTGAAAAAGAAAACCAAAGAAAATATTATGTACTTTGTGTTTTTTTATAAGACGCCAAAAACCAAATGAAAGAAAAATTCTACATAATCATCATTCTGCCTTCCTGTCTATAAAGATATTTGATCAAAGACATCAGCCGGGTTCCCTGGTGATGTTGTTTAAATTTCAGAATCTGGTGATAGAGAATTGTCATGCAAGGGTCATCTTGTTCCAGGCGGGCTACCCTGGCAAGATAACATTCTCATGCTGACGGCATGTAGGCTGGTAGGGTTCGGGAGCGGAGAATTCACTTTACCGGATAGGCAGGCTGTATACCAGGATACATTTTCACACGGATTCCCTCCAAATCCATATGAGACCCGTAGAAAGGACAAGAGTCTGGTATGGATTTGAAGGGGGGGGCGACAATATTATTTTGCCTACGGTTCACCTCCAAATTTACACCAGACCTTCATCCAGCATAAGATCTGATATGAATTTTAGGAGGGACTCCACATCATTTTTTTTACAAACCAAAAAATGAAGCCAGTCATTTAGTGGCGCATTTTATATTTCTTTCTAAATGTCACTTTTGCAGGAGTACATCGTACAGGTGCAACACTTCTCCTGCAGGTTTAAGGCACCCCCCTAATCATGTTAATAAAAGAAGAACTCCGGGCAGTAACCAAATTAACCCTTGCAATGGGGCTGCCCACTTAAGTGCTTGTTTTAGTCTAGGATTTAAAATAAAAAAGATATACTCACCTGATCTTCGGACCCACCTGGCTGCTAGATCAGTCCCTGCAGCCTGTACCAGGATCAGGTGAGTGTATTTTTTTTATCTTGGACCCTAGACCAAAATGAGCACTTATCCCTTACGGTACTGGAAGTAGCCCCACTGCAAGGGTTAATTTGTCATTTGCCTGGAGTTCTGTGTATTTTTGTTGTAGCTCTGTAAAGAAAACTTTGGGGGGGAAAACTATTAACTCTTGAGGTGGGGCTACCCTCACACTGCAAGGGTTATGTGCTAATTTGTGCCTAGGTGCTAAAAAACAGTTATACTCACCAGACCATCCAAGCTGCCTTGTTCTTGTCTGGAACATCTCTCCCCCTCTGCTGCAGATCCTGGTGTCATCATGCTCTATACACTGTGCATAGACAGTGTATAGATGTGAGGATGCCAGGAGCAGTCCATCTTTGCAGTGGAGGAGGAGACACACTTCCGTGATCACAGAGGCAGGGAGCCGGCTCGGATAGTCTGGTGAGTACAACTTTTTTTAAGCAAAACAAGCACTTGCTAGGGTTAATAACTTTTCTAACTGGAGTTCTTCTTTAAGCATTATTAAAAAATTATAAATTCTTGCATTGGTCCTCAATGGCAGTGCCCAGCTCCCTATGCCCTTTTGATAATAAAAACTGGAAAACTGGCCGTGAAGAAGGGCAGAAAAAAAATTACAAGATCCTGCTCCCATAGACTTTAATGGGGTTCACTGCAAACGTCCGGCGAACTGAACTTTGCTCGGTTCACTCATTACTACTTAAAGTGACACTAAACTTGGAGTTTAATCTTAAAAATGCATTTAAGTACCTTAACTATTAACAAAAATTTTTCTTATTTGTGTATCATTCGGCTGCAGTTCCTCAAATCATCTCTGAGGTGGTGCTGACATTTTGGCAAGGTCGGATTTCTCAAAAAGAGGGGCGACAGGTTCGTCTGAGTAGAAGGGAGTTTTTTTATTTTTTTTAAATGAGATACAAGAATCCCCAGAGGAAGGACTTTTGGATGAGATGAAACAATATATATGCTGTATATGTACATATACAATATTTATGGTCCTAGGTTTAATAGTATTCATTTTTAATATGCAATGTATTGGAATAAATGTATAATTGTAATTGAAGATTTGGCTTTAAGTGAGTTACATTTTGAGAAGCTTGGCATCCACATGTACAATATATATTTTCATTAAGTAGTGAATAGTTTCTAATTGATACAAGTTATGATATTGTGAAGTTTATAATTCATATTTATGATTTGACTCACTACTGGTGGAACACTTTGTATCATGTATTATCTGCTGTTATAATCTAATTTATACTGAGGATGAGCATCTGTTACATATTTATACTTGAGCATGTGTCTTTTGGGCAATGTCAAATTGAATATCTCATATGTTTTGTATAATCAATGATTGGCAGATACATATACTGTATATACTGTACCTTCGTTCCTGTGGATCGCTTCATTTCTACAATTAAACCCGTATATGGTAAAATGAATTAGAGTGAAGCAGACCAGAGGAGGGATGGGGCGGCATGTTTCGGAGCTAATAAAATTGATTTTACTGGAGTGATGGCATCAGTGCGCGGCTGTTTGGGATTAAAGAATTTTATACATTTGAAGTGCGCACAAGCTTGTTGGGCGAGCATCTGATATCTCTTCTGCAAGGGGCGTTTTAAAATACAGGGAAGGTGTATTGTCCTTGTTTACCTATAGTTTTAGTAACTGTTGATGCTGCCAGTAGATTCCATGGGGGGAATTTATCAAAACTGGAGCAAACAGAATCTGGAGCAGTTGCCCAGGTCAACCAATCAGCATCTCTCTTCAGTTTGCTCAGGTAAGATTTAAAAATGAGAAAGAGAAGCTGATTGGCTGCAGTACAAATCTGCTCCACATTTTGTCTGCTCAAGTTTTGATAAATTCCCCTCAATATCTTTCCATTTCTTGGCCCATTTGTAATGGGCCAAGCTGTCCAGCAAAAGCCATTACTGGGGCTGGAGGAAACCATTAAACCACGGGCTGGGGAATTTGAAAGCACGTAGGAATCAGATACAGATATGTGTCTGCATGTAT